AATGCAAAAAAACTAAATTTACTAAAAGTAACAGGCTTTATGCTTCTTAACCTACATGTAGTTATGAAAGTTCTTATGAAGTTTCAAACAATTTCATCCACTAGTTTTATTGTTGGAATGAAATATAGCAAGACTTGCGTTGGCTACCAAGAAAGTTAGTAGCTGGTGGTCTTGGGTTAAGGGCCAAATTTTGTCTGCTTTAAGTTTTCTGTCAACTTCCTTTGTTATTGTCAACATTTCTCATCTGAACATAAGTAGAGGTTCGATGTAACATTGTACGATATGTTTTTCTTACTTCTATTGATACATTTTTGTTTGTTCATATTTTGAAAGTATTCTTAGCAAGCATTATTTTCCTTTTAACTTACTTCTATGTACTTACCATCTGATATCATTAATGAGCCAAGATAATTGAAACAGTGATTTCATTTGATTTTGGTACCATCAAATGTAATACTGCATTTTAGGATATCACTTTCCTAACTTTACACCTGTACTTTGTTCCCATTACAGATTGCTAATGATTCCTACATCTCCACCATCAACACTAAGATGGTCCATAATTTTTTTATCATATTCTCATGTCTTACCCTGTCAGATGCTTTAATTCAATCTCTCTGTCTCTCTATGTACCATATCCAAACAGGTCATTGGTAACCATGGTCTCCCACAGATCTCTTCTCCTTAAAGCATAAAGGATTTCCAATGTCACTACATTCATCCATTTAGATAGATTCTTGACATAAGTCAACCTCTGTTTCTCCTTCCTTCAATCTTTCCAGTTATGGCCAGATTTTCAATTTCTTCTTTCTTCATAACATGTTCGAGAAACTCTAAGTGTTTCTGATGTTAGTCAATAGCTTCCTCCTGCAACCTGCTTTTGACAAAATATCTTCATTTGAAGTGTGACTTGTCCAAGGTACCTTTAAGATGCACCTTCAGAACCACAACACAATTGTTTCAATTCTCTTTTCCACACTTGGCAATATCATCCAACATTCTAATGCATACATGATAATTGGTATAACATAGCTATCTCAGGGTTTATTTGGTTTCTCACTTTGGCCACAAATATTCTCAGCAAGATTTTGATTATGTGGCTCATAATACTTATTGGTCCTTTCATATTTCCATTTTGTACATGCCTTTTACTTTTTTGTACATTGTGTTTCAAGCCATTTCTTCTTTTGCCTTATTGCACTTAGATCTTTTCTCATTGTTAAATTTATTATATTTTTCATTATTTGTCTTTGCTTCTCTTCTTTCCATCAGGTCAAATACTTCATTTTTCATCCACTTATTATTGCATTCTCTCTCTCTTGCTTTGGGATAGTTTCTTCTGCTGTCTGAGTAATTGAATCTTTCATTTGTTCCCATTGAGATTCTACTTGTTCTAAATTTGACAAAGCATTGTAACTGGTTTGAATTGCTATTTTAAAATCTTCTTTCATCATTATTCCAGACTGTAATAGATTCATATCTAAATGAGTTGTTTTTGATGTTTAATTTTTTTCAGTTTCACTTAGGGTGCACCACATACTGGTACATAATTACTATTACAGTTCATGCCAAAATAAGTTTTTACTGCATGTAATGCACTTCTGAACTTCTTGTTGATTAAACTGTAATCAATTTTATTTCTAGTAAGATTTTCTAGACTTATCCATGTCCACAAGTGCCTTGGATGTTACTGGAATGATGTATTTCCAATAACAATCTCTTGAGTTTTTGTCCATTCTATCAGATTTCCCCCTTTTATATTTCTGGTTCCTAATCATACAGTTATAGAATATCATCTACATAACTATTTACAACTTTTGCATTAATGTTTCCTAGTATAATAAAGATGTCTTGAGATTTGGATTGTTCTAGTTCTTAATAAAATCTTTCATAATCTTCTTGTGGTCAATCTGTTGTTGGTGCATAAACTTGTATGTTGTTTATATTGAGTGGCATGGCTGTTAACTTCACAATTATGATTTGGTTCAAGATGGCCCAATATCCCAGTGTGCATTTTGCTCTGTCTTGGTCCAAGATGACACCAACTCTTCTCTCATGCTTACCTTTGCCTGAGAATATGATTTTGTGTTTTTTTGTTGTTATTAATTCTGCTCCACTCCACCTCACTTCACTTACTCCCAAAATATTTATTTTTAATCTTTGCATTTCTTGTTTGATATTGTCTACTTTTCCTTTCTGAATTATCTTTCTTAAATTCCACAAAGAGTATGAAGCAATGGTAACTTATTCAGATAAAAAATAGATTAAGAATACATTTTTTAAGAGTTTATCATACTCAAACACATATAAAAGAACTTATTTACTGAAACTATATTTATTACTCATAAACTAATCTCAATCAAGAATATTGTTGGCAAAAATCACTATCAATGTTGTAAAATGTAACAGTGATACTATTTTGAAAGGTTAGGTCCTATGTTACCAATAAATTTCATAATTTCATAATACAAAAACTGATAGAAATACTAAATATGAATTTAGCAAAATATAGACATGTAAAAAAATTGTACTAAGTTTAAAGCAATTTGGTCAAATATTTTCTCTGTTAGAAGGCAAAAAATCAAATAAGCTCAGAGAACATCCACTGGTTTGGTTAATATTAGAGATCATCTCAGAAAATAGCTAAAGAATCTGAGCACCAAAAGAGAGAGAGCGAGAGAGATATGGCCTCTAATTTCCAAGTTATCAATCCATTTAGTGAGTTAAGTAGCATTTCTGTCATGCAGACTGCACAATACTAACTAAGTAAACAAAGCCAAGACAGCAGAGGTCATGAGATAGGATTCTTGAACAATGAAAGTTGGTTTTGACCCTTCAAGATCACGGGGAACCTTGACATATCAATAAGTTGACAGGACTTGCAGTTTTCACCTTCCAAGCACACGGATTAAATCTTGTGTAAAATGTTGTCCGTAAAAAATTTGATTAAGCCAAAATGACCCTGTGTTATGTTGAGGTACAAGATCACATGTTGCTCTTGCAAATCAAATCAATGCTATTGTAACAGAGTAGTTGATCTCTAATGTAGCACAAAAATCTAATATGGACCACATGAATCTTGGGTGAAAGAATGTCATTTCACTAGATTTGGCTTGACTTACTTCTTTGCATTTATCTCATATAACTGAATAAGTCTATAAGATGGCACAAGTGTGGAAAGCACAGCAACTCAGACAGTTGATGTACTGTTACAGTAAAAGCAATTTTGCTGTTGTTCCTAATACTTCTATATTAGACTATGTGGTATTTACATGTATTATGTAGTTGATAAAACATTACATAATCTGGAGAGTGAATTAAGGTATCTATATGCTAGTTTTCTATCCACAATTACCATTGTTTTTACATTACTAGCAGAAATGTCACTCTATGGGCAGTTGTTTGTGCTAGTGATTACTAACAGTAGTATTCATAACTAATTCTAAAAAAATTGTAAAAAGTGAGCATTTGCTAAAAATGGATTTTTTCTGGGAAGTACTGCATGGAAAAAGTGTTCAAATTGTGCACCTCATCTTATGCAACTTATTGCATCAAAATGATTCAATGTACAGAGCTCAAAATTTTCATAAACTTTACTGATATAAACTGTGATGTTTTTATACATTTAAAAATTACATCAATAAAGACATAATAAAACCCTCACATACAGTCCTAGTGAAAGTCATGACCTTTTAGATAGTTACATTCAAAATTTAATAATCTACTTTATTATCAACATATACAAATAAACTTGGCATCAAAACATAGTTAAATGAATCATTTTCTTTATATTTTCTTTTCCATTTGAAGTTAATCAGGTATATAAGAATGTACATAATTAAGGGATAATGTTATTTTGTTTGATCTTAAAATTATTATAAGTTTAGTTTCAATGTGTAAAACATTAAACATGACAATAAATTTAACATACAATAAGAGAAATTACAGAACTTATTTTAAATAGTCTTTTTGATGCATTTCTTGAGTTAAAAAGCTGGATCTCAAAGCTAATTTGTAGATAATTACCAAAGCTACTAATAATGTATACTTACAGAGTGCTGACTGAGAGATGTTATTTAAATCTCCTGGACACATATCTTTGCTGGGTTGAATGATTTCATTATCCTTCTCACAAAAAGGATCAAATTTTTTCTCTGTAACTTTTTAATGAGAAGACAAAAATAAAGACTTGTTTGTATCAAGCTAAACCTAAAACATATCTCTAGTCTTAATATAAAATTGGCACTTTAATTTTTTTCTACATTACAATTATCTTGTTCCCATTAATGTCACTCAGCAAGTTATATTCTTTACACAAAAATCATTAACTAAAATACTTTCACAAAACTTTAAATTCATTATCTGTATTAAATGAAAATTTCTAGAAAAAATGTTACAAAATAGAATGTTGAAATAATAAAATAACTTTTTACTACATGATTTAGACATCCCTACATAGACCAGTAAAAAAAAAATAGTTCACCTCACTATTAAAGTTTGTTTCAATCATTTCAATTTGTGTGCAACTACTTGATACATGTATTAAATTTTCATTATGGTAAATAAAAAAGGTTATCTTGATATTGCACTGTAGTGTGCTACAAACAATCATCATAAAAAAATTATAATGATAACAGTAGAAGTACAGATGTACATATAAATATGTCTTATTGTGCACTTAAAAAATGTTCCCTAATTTTCATACATACATTTTTGTACAGGTTTTTGTGAATATGACAATAAATGCCATATGTATGAGCAACGCTTGTGATGTGAGATAGCTACAAGTATGATCATGAACAATAAAATTGAGCTCATGTTGAAAAAAAAACCTACCATTCTTAACACTGCATTCAATGAAGACACAACCTGCATCAACACAAGAAGTACAGTTGGTGAACCGTGAACAACCTATGAGAATACAATAATCATATATGCAAGAAAGAAAACAAATATATAATAAACTGCATTGATGTGTTTGGTTTACCATATAATTTTTTTTGGTAAACAAACCACTTTTTTTAATACATTTATTTTTGTAAACATACATATCTGATGTTATGTTATTATACAATATAATTTTAAAAAAAAATTAGTATCCGTAAAATGTTCCTGATGGCTTTTCATGTTACCAAACAGTTCACTAACAAAATGATTAAACTTAAGTAGGATTAACAAGATTATAAGATTTCTATCAAATCCTGCATATAATGATCTTTGAGAGAAATATTATCCCCATAATTATTTGAAATGGTCTTTTGCAAAATAAACTGTAAAAATGATCAAGATAATAGAAAATAATTAAACAAAATATGGTCATCCTTCCATTCATCAAAATATATAACCTAAGTTTCAATTCAAATTTAAAGTTAACTATTTACATCAAGCATTTAACAACATTGGAGCTGGGCAATTTAATTGATTACCTTAAGCAGTGATTACATCAATTAGTGTCATATAAACTAATCAAAATTATAATTAAATCAACTGTCAAGTAAATAATCAAAATAAAGTTTTGTGATCCTTTCATTTGAATGAAATGAACCATGACAGTTAAAAGTTCTCAAAGTCTATAAAACTCCTGATATTAAAGCATCAATAGAGGAAACTAATGACTGGGTGCTGAAATTTGCACTGGTAGTTTTTTTTTAAAGATGGGCAGTTTCTATTCAGGTGGTTTGAAAAATATACAGATAGTAGTATTGTTTGATATTGCCTTCAGTGCTTTAATGTTTTCTGCATGTTTCGTCTTTGTCATATGACTGTATAAAGCTGCTTCTCTGATGTCAAAGGATCTTTTGTGGGGCTTACATCTTGGTTTTATAGTGTGTGAATCCCTTTCCAACCATTCCTGGTAGTTAAAATAATAAATAACACACAACGTTAAAAGAGGTACACAATTAAAAACATTTTAATTAAGGCCAATCTATGAGCATTAAAAAGTTGATTTTACATGTTTTGACGTCACATATGATGAAATTATCTGGGTAGTGAGGGACTGAGTGATAGGCTAGAGGCCTTTGAGTTTGATATTTTTCTGCTGTATTCTGCACACAACAAGATAAGACTTGAGAGGCCAGACCTTTGAGACTTGGAAAAGGTAAGCTAGGTTCTAATCAACACAGTTTTGTCTTCCAAGTTCTTACACACTAACACCAGTAAATGGGTGATTCACTTATAGAATAAGTTGCCGTCAGCAGTAGTAAGTAGTACTAGTACTAGAGGACAGCACCTTACATGTTTAAAAATAAAAAAGGGATAAGAAACATATGGCAGGTTTGAGTTTTTACTTTTTCTCGAGTGTGGGTGTGAAGGGACAGCCTTGAATTTCAAAATTTTTTAACCAAATTTCCCAGTGTATACATATGTTAAAACTGTTATAATATTAATCTACGCTCATTACACATAAAACTTGAAATTTCCAAAGTAAATTGTTCCGTATTATTACTCAATGTTAATGTATATAATAATACCCTAAAAGTTACATTTCTACTGTGTAACCTAGCTTACCTTCAAGTGCACTACTCGTTTCTTTTCCAAATCCAACTGTATTATGACTATTAATAATAGAATCTCAACGTGTTCAAACTCCTTGTGATAATTATGTTCAGAAACACTAGCTCCCAAACTTCTTTCTACGAAACAGATAAGAAAAAGCCAAAACAGCTTTGAAAAATATTTCATCTCCATTTTCGACACGACCATTTTTTGTGAATTCTAAAATAAACTTCAATATACAAATAACAAATAAATCTTCCGCTAATACTAATAGCGTCACACGAATAATCCACGTTTCAAAATGGCGATCTGATGTCTCACGTAATCTTAGGGGTGATCTTTAAATTTACTTTTAGTTTAAATTATGCGTGGCTCCATCCCCAGCACAACATAAGTTTCATATATGTTTTCCTTTTATTTGAACTCTAAAGTGATAAGTTCAAAACATTAATGCAAATTCTAAGCGTTCATTCTGCTAGAAAAATATGTTTTTGTTATGAAAGATTAGCGTATGTTAAAGGAAGAAAAACATAAAATATACTACCAGATGTACTTCCGCAGGATCCCCGAAAGTGTTCTGTTTCAAGAGTAAATAGAACCAAATTAAAATAGCAAATGTTTTTATTTCTTACTTTTGACGTTCATATGTCATGCTGTGTTGTAGCATACAGAATTCTTCTCGTGATTCATGGCATGTGCACGTTTCATTGTTGTCATGACAGTGCAAATTGCAACGTTAAGCATCCCTTATGTGACGCCATTCTAGTGTCTAATGACTGACTGACAGACAACACAGTACTGTATAGGGGTGCGAGTGGTTAAAAAAGTTGACCCCTCCAGGCGGCCCCTTTTCGGAGGTAATAAACCATTTCTTGATAAATCTACCTAAAATATCTCCCCCAGTGGAGCAGCGGTGAGTCTACGGACTTACAATGCTAAAATCCAGGGTTTGATTTCCCGTGGTGGACACAGCAGATAGTCAAATGTGGCTTTGCTCTAAGACAAACAATTTTCCTAAAATTAGCAAAATTTAGAAGGAAATACCATGGTACCACTGAGAATGGTATATTGGGCTGCAAATTTAATTATTTAGCACATTTTCTTTAAATAGAATACTGTTTTCGGTAAACTATTTCTGGCGCAATAATATGATTTGATATAACCTGACAATCCTTGCATGTATGAAATTAAATTACATATTGTTACGTCTCTGGTCGTTTGTTAATTTCCCGTATAATTTCTTTCGGATGAAACTTTAGCGATACAAGTCCTTTCTTAAATAAAACTAGTTTATTCTTTCTCAATACAACTTTGCAATACACTTAATTTCCACAGTCACTTTAACTTAAACACACGCTATAATTCACAATGATTTACACAGTTTACTTACGGCTTGACTAGATTATCTGTCTATATCTTCAATCTCTCTGTGTGCTATTCCAGTTCCGATTAATTGTCTCGCTTTATCTGGCGCACTTATATACAAAAATAGAGGGCGCCTAGCAAATACTGGATTATTCGTGATGTTCCCCGATTCTTCTAGAATCTCATGACGTGTTACTAGCGTCACGTGATATCCGCTGTCGTTACAATATTATTCTCTTTGTATATTCAAGTACTTTTAATTCCAAAAAGAATCGCCAATATGTGTTTTGAATCTAAGAAAAGCTATTAATTAATTATATAATTGCGAATGAAACTGGTCGATATTTAAAATAGTGCAACTATTAGTACATACATATTATTGTGAGCAATTAAATGCATGCTAAAATATACTTCAATATCATACAGCATGATCATTTTTTGTAATAGCCTCAAATGAGCCTTAACATAATGTGGCGTGGAATGACGTCATTTGTTCCTTCTGCTTTTAACAAATCAAGTGAACACAAATATCAGTCGCAACCTAATATATAGCGTCTAGTGTTAATTTGTTCCTTACTTTGAAATTTCCCATAAATCTGCCAATTTACAGGAAAATTGGTCAAGAAATGGTAGATTTATTGCATGTTTTGTGAACTTACGTTAACCTTCAATGATTTTTTGCTGTTGTTGTTTCTAGTAGAACAGATGCTTAAAAGTATGGTTAATGTAATGAAATTATCACTTCAAGGTTCAATCTATATGTAGAAAAGAGAAAGTTTGTTTATTTTGTTAGCTATAGGAAACCAAACGGTTGAATTTACAAATTTTAAAATAACTTCATAATAACCAATTTTTTACAAGAAATTTAATGGTGCTAGTTATTTTGTATTTTGTGTAGTATTTAATGACGAAATTGTCAATTAATTATTATTGCGCCATTTTTTATTTTTTTTTGTAATAAACATACAAACATAAGC